GGTTGTTAGAGCCACTAGTAGCTGTATCTGTGGATAGAGCCCAACATCTTATATGGATGAGACACTCCTTGTATAGATAACATCAGGTTACAGTGCTCTGTGTGCAGATATATTTCCAGTTCATTGTTTCGAATAAATTTTTCGGGCTTGAACATTGGGTGCAGGCTATGGAAGTACAGTATTAGTATATAAAGAAGTACAATATCTGAAAATCAGATTATTTATGGGAAAAAACCACCATTACAAGGTGGATTTTTTCCTCAGTCATTTCTAAGGGGAGCTCTTGTCTACCAGGAGTCCTGGTAGACAGCTGGCACCTGGAACAGCGTAAGAGTCCAGGGCAAGGAATCAAGACAGATGTCAGAAATTGGAAGGAAGCAGGAGTGAGAGCAAGTCAGCAGGATTTCTTATAGATGCATGGGAAAGTGGACTAAAATATAGTTGTTCATGGGCCTTACCTCCAGAGCTGTAGACAGGTGTCATAAGAGAAGTCCAGAAAGACTCCTAGTCAGAAGCAAACACCTTGTGTTCCTGAAATTCCTCAGGAAAAGGTAGCCTGTCATATCTGGGCATGATGAGCCTAACTGACCATGTAGGACTAAGGCAAGAGCTTCAGTGCTGTTTCTGTGAGTGCCCATACATTTTTTGGTACAGTTCCCACATCCACAGCATCAGCCCCTGGCAGCTCATACTGTTGTGAACACCATGTAGGCACGCTTTTGGGTGTGGTGTTAAGTCAGAAACTGTGCTCAAGAGGCACTATGGACAAGGGTATCCTGTATAAGAGCAACGTAAAACAATCAGAACAAGAAAATGGACCCAGCCCTTTTCCTTTTTACTGCAATATGTAGAAATCCAAAGTCCATGTGCTGCACAGTAGCATTGCAAACATTAAAACCGCATTTATTCATTTTAATACTTAGAAATCTTTTTAAGCTAATTTAAGTTTGATTTGGCTTACGCTAACTGGAGCTAATAATACTCTATTCTGGACAGTGAAAAAGGCTCTATCAAGTGTTGTATCTTACTTTCCCCTGTATGAGATACAACAAATCTGATTTGCTGTGTTATTAAAATGCATTTAATATGATACATAAGCTGCTTACAGGCAAGCAAGAGATGCACAAGAATAACAAGAATGGAAAATGCCTATGCTTCATCTTATTTCCTTAAAACTGGAAAAAATATCCAACTTTGATATTTTTAATATACTGCACAGAGCCCCAATTGTATCTATAGCTGCAAATTGGGCAGCTTGAACAATATAAATAGACTCACCATTTTAAATCATTTTTATTTTCAGTCAGTTGCATTTCCTGGTGCTCAGAAAATGCTGCCTCAGTACTGGAAAATTTTTGCTGCAACTATTATGAGTAGATACAAATTTCTAAGGAAAATAATATATTTTCTGATGTTCTTTAATTAAGTGTAAATTATTTTCATGAACTTCATATTCCCTTTCAAATTCTGTATTTTGTACTTAGTAAAGAGAGCTGTGATTCAGAAAATTTTGATTAGAATAAACTCTCTGCAAGATAAAAATGTATAATCTTGTGCTTAGCATCACTCAGAAGTCAAGAGAATATTTTACTACCAATTCACCCTCCACTGATTATAAAACTCAGTGACGAAGAGGATGGAGATGATGGCGAAGAAGACGATGAAGAGGATGAGAACTGTAAACAGGTTTTTTTCTTTCTTTTACAAGGAAGTAGAATGGGAGTGTACTGCACAACTGATTTATTATAACTATTACATTCTTAGAAAAGAGTTGTTGACAAGTTTTTAAATAGTTTCCAGCTAATCTTCAAAATATTGGAACTGGTAGTCACCAGATGTGAATGAGGCAACATTTTCTAAATCCTGTGAAATCCTAGCTGCCTATTTCAATAGTGATATGATTCACATACCTCTTTTTCATTAAATAAAATTTGAAATGCAATCCACAATTCAGAGGATGTGATCCACAGTTCAGATAGCCATCAAATACTGTTCACAATTTCTCAAAATTCAAGTTTAGGAGATGCTTCTTTTCTGGGAAACAAACTTTTGAACAGGGGCTGTACACACTCATCACTGAAGGTGAAGTCACAGGTTTATTTACAAAAGATAGTTGTATGACTTCAACTTAAATAGTTTGTTCAACTGATTTCCTAAACTCTGTAGGCAGTCTCATTTTATTACAGAAAGTTCGTCTTAAATCTAGTGAAAAGAATCCGTGCAAAACTCTTCACTAGTTTAACTGAATGTGTACGTGTACATATATATTTAATAATTTATTTATTCATTCATTTTTAATTTTTTTAATGTAGTTAAACTGTTGACTATCTCACTTAGAGATGAGAGATTCGTAGGGAAGGAATGAATTGCACATTCCTGGAGAGAGACAGGGAGAGAACGACCACTTCCATCTGTGCACCCTGCAAATTACTGTGCTAGTTCTCAGGCAGCCCCAAGCTGCTTTTCACCTTCCCCTGCCCTTCAGGTTGGCTTGCAGGGCGGCCTGTTCGTGCTTCCTGACTCGGTCGGAGTAAGCTTCATTAACTGAAATAATATAAAAAGTAAGGCTTTGCTAATCTTACTGAGACAGGTGAGAAGCACTCACTTCACCATCTCTGCTGGCAGACATTACAGTAACATTGGCCAGAGGTTTTTGTGCAAGCACTCTCTGGTGACACGTTTAATCAGAAGATTACCTTTTGGGTGTTAAAGAAGGATCATTTTGAAAATGACTACTGAAGATGTTTTTGAATCATTTTTAATCAACAAACATTAGCTTCATGGTATGTGTTGTAACTGCAATTCCATTGCACGTGGAAATACCTAATATTAAGGAATAACTTTTTTGTCCAGAAGCAGAGGTTGCAGTCAAGAAAAAAAAAGAAGAAAATAAAAATTGGTGACTGAAGTGAAATTTATTATGGGATTTGATTATTATGAATTGTTGAAGGTCTTTGTATAGCTATCTAGTAATCTTTTTAAAATATTTCCTACAGATGTTTCTTGGGTGCCTAAGACTGAAGCAGATATTGAAGAGGAACAAGCAATAAAGGAAATATGCTATAAATCTGGTAAATATGAAATAAGTCGCTCTTTCCTAAACAGTAATGCTGCAAATATAGTAAACTTCGGTGTTTTTTTCCCTCTTGGGGTATGTTTAGGAGAGCATTACAAGATTGAGTACCCTCACGAACACCAATCAAAGAGGCTGTCTTCTCCTGTTGAAAATAAGCTATTACCTTTGGAAGCTACCAAGCAAGACTTGCAGAAAGGCAAGAACTTTGCATCTTCTTGGACATCTTGGACAATGTTTACCACTTTTAAAATTACTGTTACAGGGAGAAACTATTACGTAGTTTGCCTCTCCTCCTCACTTTTTTGATTTAGTGACAATAAAAGCATATGACAAAAAGCATAAAAATACTTCATTATTTTTTCCCATATATATATATATATATAAATAGTGTGTCATATGTGTGGTGACCACCTGTAATGACTGTAAATGGAAAAGGTAGAAATGGGCTATTAACCCTATTTGTACTTCCCTGAGATATACAACATAGGTCTTTCATATAATTTTTCGTCAAGATCAAGATTTATGTAGTCTAGTTTTAACCATCCTAAGGTTAGGAATATAGGTTAAATTTCTCATCCAGGCCCTCTGTTGTAAATTGAGAGAGACAGACACTATTATGGGGCTATTTATTGCATCATAAGATAGTGCCAAAGAAAGGTCCCAGAGGTGCTCCGTGCTCTCTGATGGCTGTCTTGGATGTCTAGATGATGAAATGCAGTGATACATCTAACTTTTCTGTAACTAGATTTAGATTAAATAAATGCCTCCTTTAAGTGTCTTATAAAAGATAGTAACAAAAAAGTTTCATTTGGTTTTGAATGTTGGGCTTTAGCCAACATAATTAAGGTCAAAGAAATACAAATTAATAAATATTTACCTTCCTTATTACAATTCTCCTTCATTCTTGAGTAAGTGGCATGAGTGAAAAAAAAATCTATATTAGTTTTTTTACTGAATAAGTAATTGCATAATTCCATTTTAGGAGAGTGAATTATGTCTTAATATAACAAGACACGAGAGTAATCAGTAGATCGGTCATCAAAAATTGCTGGGCAGAAATATGACCTGCTACTTTTAATAAAAAATATAAATTATTTTTTATTTTCACAGTAGTGTAAATTTCAGGGATTAAAATTTGGATAATACTGTAGTATTATGTAGTAGTATTATATGCTAGTAAGAAATGGGAATGGAAAAATTGTCTCCATTTCAAATAATACAGACATATGAGGTCATGTTTTTTGACTGACCTTTTTTGCTAGCCGAAATTGTTCAATAGAACAGGGCAAAATTATTTTCTTCTAATTTCTACGTTTAAAACGTTTGATAGTTTTGATAAGCTATTTCTGGCAAGTGTTTAGGTATATTTAGACTATAGACAAGGAAATCAGTAACAAATATATGAACATAGCTTGTAATATGTATCTATATTTATAACTAGATACATTCAGAAAAAAGGATAGAGATGTCTCCCCAAAGCATTTCTTCAATTTTCTCCGAGGTTTTAGGTACTATGACGACACGCATCTTAGCAATACCATGTATTCGATCAGGTAGGATTCATAAATATCATTCATGAAACTGAGAAGCTAAAGAACAAACAGGTAATTTGTAGCTGGTTCTTTACTTTGGAGCCATACTCTTCTTTAACTTGTGTATTATGGTATTTCCTTAGAGAGCGTGAGAGTTACACATCAGTCACACTAGACAGGATCCAAATAACTAACAAAAGAGGAAGAAGAATATAAAACGAGAGGATAAAGGAAATTGCAGTAAGCTAATCACTAGCTCATAGAGGTGGGAGGAAGTGCCATTCACTGTGCTTACACACAAGCAGCTAAAACATTTTTTCTGTTGCCTTTCCAGGTGATGATAATACAATTGTTACAACATTTAATAATACAAAAAAAGAAGGAGAGCATTCAGGAAATAAAGTGCCAACAGAGAGTATTCCCAGAACAGATCGTAGGTCATTTGAAAATGGAGGTAATAGACTTTAACCTTGGCTTCTCATTGCTGAGCATCATGTGATAAATAACTGAATATTTGTGCGTTAAACTTCCCCATTTTATATTTGATTTATTCTTTGTTCTTTTATGTTCTAGAGACTTTCTCACACTTCACTGTTAATTGTAACAATCAAAAGCACTGTCTATGATTCTGCTTGTTTTAGGATTACACTAGAAAAAAAATTTCCTCTATGCTGACTCCAATTGGTTTTTTCCTGCTTAATTTTGGAAAATAAATGGTTCTGTGGAGTTATAAAAAGTCATGTCTGTAGTATAATACCTTTAGTTATTATGTATGTTGACATTGGAGGTAAAGCTAGTATAATAAGGTTGAATCTTCAGCCATTCAGTGGTATTTCTGCAATGCTGTTTGTCACCACGTCAGCAATGCCAGTTCAGCTGTTAAAACTATGTGTGGGCCCATGCTGTAAACTGTATCACTGAAGTGCCTGAGGATTAAAGTAATCCTTTTATAAATTGAAGTTGTTTTTTATTCCACATCATTTTAATTGTTCAGGTTGCAGGACAACACATAGCTGAATTGATACAACTGAGACAGAAGTGGGGCATACCTTGTGAGCAAGGGATGAGAAATAAGCATAGGTAGACAGGAACATATTAAGATTCCTGTTTTGTTGCTAACTGAGTTATCTTGTAATGATATGCTGTTCAAGCTCAGAAGTTGTCACCTTATGCTTGGGAGTCTGCGTTGGGTTCCCATTTATATGTTACATTTTGACTTTGTAAAAGGATTTTTTCCCCTGTGACACACACATATAAATTGCATGCAACATTTGATTCTCACTTATTACAAATGTGTATGTGGATTAAAGCAAATGTTTGTAGTTTTGAACTGTAAACCCTAAATACAGTATTCATGAAGATTTTCTGATTCCTAATGAGTCACATTCTGAGACAGCACTGGTCAAAGCAGTTGTAAAAGTTCAAAGTAGTGTTGGTCTTTGTGTTTACAGATAATTTTTGAGTTTGCTTTCAAGATTTTGTGACCTCTGCTAGAGGATATATAGCCACTTTTGCTTTCCTTTTGAGGAATGATACTTTTAGAATAGTTAACATTTAAAACCGTGTTCCACCCAAGAAGACCTGTGTATGAACTGGGAGATTAGGTTTTCAAAACACCATAGCTTTTTTGGATGAGAAAATTTTGCATGCTTTTTAAAAAAGTAAATATGTGTTATTTTAATCCCTTAGAAACAAACCACATTGAGCTGGTAAAGGACCATCACTATAAAGAAGTAAAGAAGAAGAAACGGATTTCTGAGGAACAAAGACATTCACCCAATAGAGTGACAGGCAAAGGTATTTTGAGAAAACAGTTGGCTTATTCGTTTTTATTTACTAAACTGTTAGATGATTTAGCACTACCTAGTTAATTTCTGTTCTTAGTGCCAAATATGGATAATCCATATTGGGATTAGAATATCCACAAAGAATGTTTTCTTAATCTTGTCTTCCAGCCTCCAGTCTCCTGCAATATGTCAAATTTTGAGTAATAGCACAGCATTATTGTTTGTCTGTTTTTTCACTTTTAGGAATTCACACTTCAGACCCCAAAGTAAAAACAAGTTATCAACAAAGGGGTCAAAGTAAGAATGACAAAACTGCTCCTCCTTATGTGAAAGAAACTGGAAGAAAGACTTACTTCAGTTCTTCAGAACCTCAAAGATCAGCCTATGTAGTCTACTGCACTGTCACCGTCACCCAAGAACCGAAGATCAATGGATCTACAGGTGGGTTCCTGCTTACACAGGATTCTTAAAATGCCTCAAATGTACCTGTCTGCATCGTGCTGCTTTCAATTTTGTCCCGGCAGGCGAATACTAAGTTATTTATGCCTCAATATGAGCAAGAGTAAATTTGATCCAGCATAATTTTTGTAAGTAGATTGCAGCAGTATCCACAGACAGAAAAGTAAAGCTGTATAAAACTTCACAATTAGTCAGACAGAATATTCATGAACAATAATTTGGCCACCTTCATAGCAGGAATTTGTTTCTCTGCCAACAAAGAGGGATGAATGCAATGATATGCTGATATATGCACAAATATACCGATCTCTACTTTTTACAGCATCTTTTATGTGATTTATTATTTTGCAATGTTTAATAAATAAACCTTGTAATAATCCATCTTTAACATCTCATTTGACTATGATGGATTTCTGATTATTTTCATTATTTAGGATTATTTTGCATCTTGAATAAAAAAGGGCTTGGGTCTTATTCAAACGTCTGTTATCAATTTAAATGTGTAAATTTTTGTGATTTATTTTATTATTTTTTCACATTATTTATGTTGGACAGAGGACTGAATTAATTCTTCCTGCCATTCCTGCAGGATGGTACTTTCCTTCATCTTTTTTCCATCTTTGAAATACTCTACCGTTCCCTCGAGAGTAGGTACTTTGTCATAAATTTGACATGAGGCTACAGATGGAATTCTGAGTCTTGTACCTCTCTTTTTGGCAATCTATTTCAGCTGTAATCATAATTTTACATCTTTCGCCTTATTTTTAATTTCTAATATAGCTTCAGACAATTTGGTATCTTTTTGCTTTTATTTGCCTTTTTACTTTCCGTTTCCATGGTTTCTCTGGATAATCGCGGTTTTTTCATCTGTCACTTCATCAACAAATTTGATTAAGAAAATGATTTCATCTTGCCAGTTTCAGTCATCTCACTTAAGCTGGGTTGAATCTTGATCTTGCGGTGCCTCCCTGTCAATAAAAAGAACCTCCTTCAAACAGAGTAACCTCTGCTTTAAGATGAATAAAGTTAAGTGAAATGAATCCTGACATCACTGCTTCATCTCGGGGACTAACGGCTGTGGGTTTTTTCTTTTAATGTTTGTTTTGATTAAATGTTGACAGATTAGTGTAGAGATTACAGAGAGAACACTCTTAATGTGAAAAATACATTTTATCAAACTTCCAGGTTAAAAAAGCATAGAGCATTTCAAAATAAATGTGATCAGTATTTTTGTCATAAGAACAACCGTTAGTGTTTTTGCTAACTTTCTTTTCAGCAGTACCTCAGCCATATGGTGGGAAATGCTCCAAACAAACAAATCAGCTTGACACAAACAGAAGATTTTGGACTCAAATGGAAAACTGTGGTAATACTTACCATGTTGGGTACAAAATGAAAAATTTTGGATTATTGTGGAATTAATAATTTGAGTTAGTGGAATTAAGATGGAATTAATAGAAAATAAAAATATTAATAATATTAATTTTTAACCAAATTTTACAGAAGGTGGTTAGTCCTTAGGCAACATACTGTGATGAAAAATCAACTGTCTAGCACAAAAACATAATGCTGCCTTGCCTCTAGTGCTTTCA